TCGACAGAATCCGAAACGTCAGGAAAATAAAACTCTTGTTCCGGTGGTCGCATCTTCTGAGTTCGATCTCAATTAGCCTTGGCTGTGTACAGACGATGCATATCATTTAATCAGCAAGAATTAAGTATTCACGATCAAGGGTTAGTGTTCGGGAGCACTATCCGCGAGTGATGGAGTTGCGCTTGTAATTGAGTATAATGGGGGGAGGGCTTGCATAACATTGACCTCCCTCCTTTCTAATTTAACCTCGCTTCAGTGATTAGGTTATGCTAAATACTTGGTGAACTGGGATACAGCAACAGACCTAGCATAAGACCTCCGTCTGCATGTGCCGCCACATGACTGGTTTCGTCTTTTTGACGAAGTCAGCCTGCACAATTCCCAGAAGCGGCATACCCTCGGGCTGCCGTAACGCACTTAAGCTGCCCATCGAAATAGTTTTCGGGACACGTTCATTTTGCTGAACATGGCATTGCGTAACTCTAGATGATGGCTGAATGTCGAAGGGGTACTCGGATGCATGCGTGGCTGCCCACTAGCATTCATAGTCTATTTTGAAATTTGATGCGCCTGCTAAATCAGCATTCAATTCTTATCCACGAACCCCCCCCCCTCTCAGTGTGGCTGACCGCCATAATACTGCTATATTTTCAAAAAAAGCCACTAAAACTATAAATTAAGATGCTTAATCACAAATTATTAGGGGAGACCAATTAAAATAATCAAATTGACCCAACTTTGAAAAATTTGCGGCCCCGGTGGACTGCGTACGTGCGGGTAAATCGACCCAAGTGGTATTAAATTTACAGCTCCCGGTGAGCCTCGTAGCTCAGTTGGCAAAGCGTTGGCTGTACTAAAGCCTTCCCTTGTTGACGTGGGTTTGAATCCCACTGAGACCGCCAATCTTTCATGATTTGGGTCAAGTGAATTAATCCGAAATATTTATTCCTTTTTTATTCTAAACCTTTAGGCACAGTCCTCCCAGTAAAACAGTCATAAGTCGTAGGCGTCTTCTATTTGTTTGCAGAAATAAAGTATTTGCGTACTTTGGTTCCGCAAAATCTCTTCTTTAACCCTTCCAGAACACTTTTTGACCGACTTTTTACATAGTTACTTGGGACTGGTGACATAGTTATGCCGTGCTAGCAACGAAACCTTGTAAGTTGAATCAGCAAAGGCATTTCTTAAATAGGTACCTACAGTAGATTGGCTATCTCATCAAATGTGAAGCTCGACATTTGAATGCGTGGTTTAACACATATCTGAGGTTTTTTATTTTGTTCGTTGAATAGACTTGAGGCGCAAAATGCTGTTTACTAAAAAATCAGTTAAGTTAAGCTGAGTGTATTGAAGAAAATAGTGGACCCAATTGAACCACATCCAACGTTTCTTGATATCCAAGGATTTTTTTTATATTATTAAATGCTGCAAACTAAGCCTTCTTGCTTATGCGTGTTGTACTATAAAAGAACATTGATAAAGAGCAGAAACTTTTTAATTATATGTTCCGAGAACAGAAAATTTTGTGTATATGAAATTGAGGCAAGTGCAAGTATGAGATAACGCATTATTGTCAGGAAAAGAAGGGCGGATTAAGTTTAAAAAATATATTTTGCACATCTGCCACGTTATGTGCCATTAAATTAAGTAATGCATTTGGAAGGCGGTAATTTATTTTACCATACCGAAAATAACGATGGTAAACAAGCATATAGATGAACACTCGAGAGCTGCCGTCACTTTCCTCTGTCAAGGCCTGTGCCAAAAGATGTCCAAACTTTTTTTTATCTACAGTTCAGTAGGAACGAATAAGGGAACTTTAGACAGAACGGGCAGAAGCTTCTCAGTTTTCGCAAAGTATACATCCTGCCACTCTGTTGCGCTTTTGCAACCAAAGCCTAAAAGTAAAGAAGTATACTGAAAATTGCTCCAGTATGCGCAGGAAAGTGAATTCTTTCTCTTTCAGCATAAGATGTATGTCTAGTGCTGTGGGAAGTCAAAAATGGTCACACCTTATCGTTTTTATTTTGACTTAATCACCGAAAAAGGTAAATTACGTAGACGCTCGATGCCAAAATATCTAATTAAAATGATATTTCAAGAGGTAAATTGTTATTGATCTTAGGCCTATTTCTATCTGACTTTTGTTGCGGACGTTCATTTCCCTCGTCAATGAGTTGACATGTTTGGCTGATTCTAAAACCATGACCCAAACAGACGGGTACATTATAAAGGATGCCCAAAAACTCACTATTTAGGCAAATACATTTAAGAAATATATTATTTTGAAGGTTTTGATAAGTCAGTAGAACGTAACCCTTACTAATGGACCACCGACTGAAACCACTGAAAGTTGGAATGTGTTAACCGATTATTTTGCAACGAACTTCTACCCGTGCTGCTTTATTCATTCGTTTTTTGCATGAACAGGTTTTCTCTAAATTAAAGAATAACGTTTACCTAGGATCTCTGGTTTTCACTTTTTCGGAATCTTCTGCTTTTCTACGAAGCAAGTACTTCTAAACAACGTAATATTACTCGATAAACCGCCAAATGCCTCATTTTGAAGAACGACCACTACTTTACTGCTGTTGGAGTTTGCGTACTTGCCACTTTTGTGTAACAGGGATTTTCTTGTAAATATCCTATGATTTAATGAGTTAGCCTACCTACTGTACATACCACGACCAGCCAGCAACAGCTCACAGTAGAGTGAAATTTGTCCCAGATGCGCTACCTGAAATTCATTTATCCAAATTTTAAGCATTTAACCAATTTACCTACTCGTCACTTGCCCGGTTTATTTATACCTTAAGACAAGATGGGTGACGGTGCTAGGTCCAGCTACATAATCTAAGGCGTCCCCATTACCCACAGTCAGATTGATTGGCAGATTGCCTTGATTATCCCCTTTTCGAATCCGTTTTTTTTGTAGAAGGGAGGCAGCGAGATGGACAATTTCTTCGAACGCAATCTATACATTGATACCATACTAAAGGAGATTTACCAATTTGTGGGCAATCGTCGAATTCTCTTTTCGTGCTTCGACGCAGACACATGTGCCATGTACGTGGGTTTTCTTCACTGTTTTTTACTCATAGTTTTGCCTGAGAGGAGTCTGAAACGTGATGCATTACTGTGCTATTATCCGTCTTTTCCGATTGATGTTCTATTCTTGAACCCAACGGGTGTATTTTTCGGAGACATCTTTTGCGTATTACCTGACTTTCTGCAAGTTCGCAGCTTGGAGAATCCAGGTTGCGCCGTTTTGGATCCAAAGGAACTTTATTCTATCCAAACACATTAAAATCAAGACCTTATGCTGAATTTCATAGCAAGCTAGCAGACACTCTCGGAGTTGTCATACTACCCTATGTACAAGTTATGTTTCTTCCTGACATTACCAGCTGCAGGAAATCGCGGTTGGTTAGACAATTTACGACGGAAGGGGAAGGTAAACGTCCCACCGTGAGAAGTTATGCGGAAATTGCCCTGTTGCGACCGGACACGTGGACACGGATGGATTGATAGTAGGCGTCGGCTATAACAATTCGCCAACACACACATGATAGTTTTACTTTGCTTTCGATAGGGAAGGTGCCTTGTATAAGGAGGAGAAGCATCAGAATGCTTATTTGTATTGAAAACAATATACATTCCGTAATACTTTTGCCAGTGATTTATCTCACAGTAAACGCGCGACACCATAGAGGGGAAGTTATGGCTATGCGTGGCGGTACAATATTTGACCCAGAGCTTCCTATAGTCGCGCGTAGGATATATGAAGAGGATTAATAAGCATGCAGGACTTACTGGAAAGGTCGTACTATGAGACTCACTGTCACCCATTCAAAGGCAGAAGCGAGCTCGGGTGGGCCCCTAATATTCAGTGAAATATGTGAAAGAACTTAAAGTCACAATTGATGCTTCTATTTTGTGTTTGTTACCAGTAATCCGTGTGTCCTCTACTTTTCTGACCAGTAGCGCGTACTAAGTTTTAAAATTATGATTTCGCAACCGGGCTTTAAATGACTAGTTGCCATAACAAAACTCCTCATAGGAGAGAGTGCATTGTTTTCACGATTCGCATTGTGGGTTACCTACTGCAGAACTTGTGTGGAATAACTGGGAAGTGTTTTATTTATGCAACTTGAATGAGTATATTGTCAAACTGAGCTATAAAAGTTTTCTGTCGCAGAATCTGACTAAGCATGTTTATGTGCCCAGCTACTAATTTCAGAAGGCACCCTTGAAGTAGATAGCGTTGAGATATCCATTCACACACTTTGATGTATAAACACAACCAATAAGCAGTCGTATGGCGCCGTACCTGTAACACTGTGCGCCTACTCAGCAACCTGTGCGAACTCGCATGTCAGTCTGATGCTCATCATTCAGTTAACCCGGTCCCATTTCTACCATTCGGCATATCACATTGCGCTTATCCGAACCGAATCTCCCCAGTAGCCCGCGGCGTGCTCGTCGCGT